TTAATATGTTCTTATTATATTTAAATGATATGCTCTTATTATGTGTTTTAATTATGTATTTAATGTTTTTTCATATTACTTTGTAAATTTCTTATTGTATATAATTTTTTATTGAAGAAAAATATGGATATTCATCTTATTGGATCCAAGATCTAGGATGTAAATATATGTCTTACAGATATTGCTACAATGCACATTATATTTAAAGACAATAAATATTTTTTCCCCTTGATAATGAAAGAAACCAATGTTAATATAATATTTGGTAATACAAAATTAATTGAAAGATTCAAAAAAGCTAATATATTACTAACTTAAGGAATAAAGTTTTATAATAGATGATATATTATTTTCAGCATCTCAAAGAAATTTATTAAGTTTGAAATATATCCATCTAAATGGATATCATATTGAAACAACAAATGAAAGAGAGACTTAATATCTCTATATTACATTTATTGGTTCGAGTAAAAAGTGTACGTTGAAAAAAAAAATTACCCGTTCTATATTATGGATTTTACTATATAAATATTGAAATTATTAAAATTTATACTATAATAAATCAAAAGTTTACTATTGATTTTAATGTTTGGGATGACCGGATGGATCATCCTAAATCCATAATAATAAAAAATTTATTAAAAATTAATGTGATCATTGATTGAAAAACTGAAAAAATTTTCAATCTAATGAATTTTCAAATGTTGCTTGCTTTAAAAGCAAATTAATTATAAGGCCATTACTAGTTAAAGTTGAGATTGAATCTATACATTTTTTGAAACATATTCAGGGTGAAATATGTGGATTCATACATTTATCATGTGGGTCATTTAGATATTTTATAGTTTTAATAGATGCATTGACTAGGTGGTCACATGTATGCTTATTATCAATTCGTAATTTGACATTTGTAAGATTACTTACACAAATAATTCGTTTGTGAGCATATTTTTTTAATTATACAATCAAGACAATTTGTCTTAACAATGTTGGTGAATTTACATCTCAAGCCTTTAATATTGCATATTAGTTGGAATAATTGTTGAACATCCTGTTGCTTATATTCATACACAAAACGATTTAGTAAAATCATTTATTAAACACTTCTAACTGATTGTAAGGCTATTGTTTATGGAATCTAAACTCACAATTTTTGTTTGGGGGTATGTCATTTTGGAGGCAACATCACTTGTATGTATCAAGTCAAATGAGTTATTATAAAC